AATTCCTCTAGATCGTAATTCGCATTCGAGTGGCACTTTAATTATAATAATAGGTACCTCCATGATGTTATATGGGAGAGGCTCACAATTTGGATAGGCTGAGGCCACCACGACGCCTAAATAAATCCATCTATATTTTATATATTATATTAACATATTATAATATAGTAATATAGGTACTAAAAATATTCTAGTCAGAACCAAAAAAAAATGGGCAGATTCGGTAAATGCTGAGTAATACAGCCAATAAATATATATACACGGACACATAATATACACATAATAAAATGTATTTAAGTTTTAATCATATACCTATATTATAGTCCTAAATTAATTTTAAAAAAAATTACGCCACTATTATATACAAATTAAAATAATATATCAATACAATTCAAGCTATAAACTTGCTTAACACTTAAATTATAATTAATAATATAAAATATTTATGGTAAAGTAATTAGGTATTTATCATTAGCAGTTTACCATTATGTAGAAAATAACAAATAATAATAATATAATTAAATTATTTTATTTAAAATCAAACCCAATATGTAAGAAATGTATTGTCATTGCACAAAATGTCCATAGAACTATCGATAGGCCAATTATGGATACAAAATTCAATGGGTGCAAGTACATATCCTTCCCCCCAAAATTATATAATTTATTTACACTGTCAATACTTTTATAAACGTCCTATAACAACACATAATTAATAAATCCAATATCCATATTATTATACATACATAACTTGTTAATAGTTTCAATACGTTTATGATTTTGTTGGCTTCATTTCTAGACTTATAGAAATAAAGGGGAAATGTAATTAACCACTCTGTTGTACAGATAGAGGAGTGGAGTGTGCCTATCTCGTCATTGAATAGGTTGTATTATGTTACAATATACACACTACACACTGAATGCAAATCAAACTTTGAGAAAGTTAAAATTAATCCTTTCAATAATATGCCATAATTCACGAATAAGTACCTATACCGTCTACCCTATATAATCATCTACATTTTTATACTGACAATAAACTGATATTTATCAATGTATTTGATTTCTAAACTACTTAACTACATTATTACTACATTATTACCTAGTTAATATACCTGCGATGGCAGATAATATTTATTGGTTAATATTTTCCAATAATTTATATGTGGGATATAGTAGGTATAGTTGTAACTTGTAATAGCCATTAGCCTAGGTATAAATCAATTTCAATTTGCTAGTAAAAAGTTTACACTTAAAAAGTAGTAACAATTTTTATAAGAGTTGTCATTTTGTATGGGCAACAAAGTGCGAGGGATCAGCTAGTAGCTTATAATACCAATTAAGTCACCAAATAAGTAAATGATAGCAGCCCATTAAAAGTAATGTAATGGATATTGAAACTGAATGTTGAACACTGGACTCACTTGCAGTGGCGGTTCTAGAGTATGGGCAGGGTGGGCAGCTGCCCATATCAAAATGTCTGGTGCCACTTATTGGGGAAGGGGGAGGAAATGAGGAATATTATTTGCAGTTAAAACCTAATTATAAATACGAAAATGTAGTCCTAAAACCGCGCCTGATCACTTGACTCACCTAGAGACCTAATGCTAAGAGCATTGTGAATTTGTGATGTGTTACGAATTAATAATCATTAAGTTGAAAGCAATGATAAATAACCATCTTTTGAAGTACATACTTTTGGTCGGAACTTGCTCTAGCTCACGTTTGTATGCTGATTATGTTGCTTTTTTTGAAATATCCGATATTTATATAAGTAGCTGGTACCTATACAAGATGATTCTTTTATCATGAAACACTCATTATTTAAAAAGTATTAATGTTTTTGAAAATATTTTTTTACATAATTCCAATTCATGAGAATAATATTTTTATGTTTGTTGTAGTTTGTAATGTCTTTATCTTTCCAACAAGAGGGTTTGGAATATTATAAATGTTTTTATTATTATGATTGAATCCTTAAGGCTTAAACTGAATTAAATCAATTGCATATTTCGTATCGTATTCATTTTCTATTGTGTATTGTAATTTGGAACACGTCGTAAAAGATTTTTTTTCAAACATTTGGCGGCACAATGTTGGGCGTATCTGATTAAGAAAGACATTTTGAATTATCACTTTCTGGCACACTGTTTACTGCTGATTGGCCAATCATCCAATAGTCGTGACTTATTTCATGAATTGTCACGGGAAAAATTCGATGCAACCTCACTAAAATAATCAAGACTTTTTTATTTTGCGTTTTTAAATTTTTTTTATTCTATTCGTTAATTTAATTTTTTCCTTAACTCGTTTAAAACGATGCCATATCAAACACCGTCATCGATGACAAGTTGAAATGTATTTTTATTAGTTGTTTTTTTATAACATTTACGCATTTGGATTATATAAGTACGTTATCGTGATCTTTTGTTTTCCGGACTAACTTCTCTGTTTTAACTTTTATTCTATTAAGTATTAGTGATAGCAAAAATGGGAACTGGTGACGAAGAATACGATTATTTGTTTAAAGGTAATGTTCTTGTAGGATATTTGTAGAAATGCATTTGTATAATATTTCTTGATCATATTTTTATAAAATTTTTGTGAAATCGTACACGGTTTCAAAAGTCCACCATTGACCATTGTAACTTTTATTATAGGTATGAGGTGGGTTGTAGGTGTTCTTGTATCAATAGATATTAATTGAAGAATATTATGTACCTGGTTTATTAGATTTATTTACTCTACCATTAATTTGATTTGTTGGATCTTTGTGGTTGATGTAATTCAGTTACAACATAATAGTTTTTTAATGTCTTAAATGTAGGTACACATAATATATCAATTTTAAATTACTTATATGCATTTACGTCATACCTAACAGTTTGCAAGGTTTATGAAATTATGATAACTACATAGATAATCATAATTGTGTCATTAGTAGTTAAAAATGTAATCTGTTTATAGGCTTGCTACTTATTTGATTAATCAATGGAAAAACTAAAAATAATTTATCAGGTTTTGCTGTACAATACCTATTATAAAATAAATAAATAAATAATATCACCATATTCTTTACATGTAACTAATAACCTAGTAGTTGCTGTAGGTACCATGAATTAAAAATAAAATAAAAAATAAATTGGTAAGTAAGGCTCGTAGTTTTACTTTACTTCATAACTCCATGTAAATCACCATCCTATAGTTGTTTTAGCATTATAAATAGTTGTTAAATTTACTTATATATTTAATCAGACTTACAAGTCTATTACAAAAATATAGCAGGTGATCTACTATGGGATAGTGATATACCACAAAATTTGAATATCTTAGACTATATTATATTGATGATTTATTATTGAAATTTATTTTTTATTAGTAAGTAGGTAGGTAATTCAAGATTATGAAAACTATAACAAAATTAAATAATAATTGATTAAAAATATAAATTTACCATTCTAACTATATTAAACTTCTATTTCATAGATATTATTATTATTAAATTTTGGTATACCTATATGATCATAATCAACTATAGAATTAATGGATTCTGTGTATTTGTAAAATACTAATAACATAATATAAGAGATTATTTAATTATAAGATAATATAAATTGGTACCTACCTTTGTTGAATCTACCACTACTAAAAAATAAATGTGTAAATAACTGTTTCAAAATATTTATAAACCTTAATAGATCACCAATTACACTTAAAATTTAAAGATAAATCACATGCTTTACTTAATATTTGCAATTAGATGGTGGATCACAAATGGTACTTCACAATTTCCGAATTATAGTTATTTGTATTTTGGGTATGTATAATAGGCTATAGTGTTATTTGTAGAGAATAATAGTCTTTTAATTAATTAATTTAAAAAATGCCCATTAAAGTAAAATGATAATATCATAATTACAAAAATTATTGAAATAACTATTTGTGTATTAATTATTATCCTTATTAAAATCAAAATACCATTAAAAATTAGGATTGTAATTATAATTTTATTTCTGTTAATGACTGCAAATCAAATAATTCATTACACTACCATCTGCCCTTATATGAATAATTAGTATTTTTGGCAAATACTTGGTACAGATTTAATCTTAAATTAATATTCAATGACACAGAATTAGTAATAGACCTAGCTAGTTTCATTGTTTGACCTTTTAATAGACTGGTTTATTGGCTTTAATAAACACATTGAATGCTTGTTGGACCAATTTATTTATATTTAAATATATTTAAATTGTGATGAATATACATGTATAATGTTTAACTCTACAATATGTTAGTCATATGGTCAACAAATTATAACACCTTTGAAACCAGCCTCTTTACCTACCTAATATAAAATCTGATATAAATTAAAAATTATGATTTATGAGTTATGACTAATGTAAAATACTGAATAGGTATTTAGAGGATTACTGGTATTGGGTTTTGTTGAGTTAATTATGTAGATGTAAGACACTAAATGAGTTTTAACAATATAATATACTTTGATACTACAGTTTATAAAATAGGTGAAGAAGGTCTAAGTTAAATTGATTATATTATAGTTTTAACTATTATGTTTATTATAAAATGTATGGTATAAGTTATGATGTTGAAACTACTTTAATATATTATCCTTTGACCATTAATGTTTATAAGTTAATAATCGGGTATTAGTCAAGTGAATATTATGGCTATTGTTCTGCGATATAGTTCTCTGGCTAGGGAAGAAGACTGTCACAGAAGATTGCCCACTTTTAATTTAGAAAATACTAGCCCAAGTGTACAAAAAAAAAAAAAAAGATCATCATTTATAGTTCATCATTTTCATTATTAACTTTTATTTAATATTAATATAAAAAATTGATCTAAAATACAATATGTTAAAATAATTAAATAAAGTAAGGTAAATTATAAACTTTTAAATATATATTAAGCAGTATTTTTCACAGCTGTGAGTCTGTAAATCTTTAATCTTTTAGTTGACAATAGACGTCTGAAGTCATTAAGATTATATGATTTATTGACATTTGATAGCCATATCTGATAACCAATTTCACAAAAACGATAAAGTATTAATATATTTATATCAAAATTCTCGATCAGATGGAAATACCGGCTTTTTATAATTTTACAATTGTTACTTTGAAAATACCGGTTTTTTAAAGGTTAATATCGGAATATGGGTAACCGGCTTTTTAAGTCTATGGATGTGAAATACCGGCCGGGCCGTGAAAATACCAGTCGGATGTTAACCCTACTGTCACCCCAACTAAAATTAGGCAAACCTACAGGTGCCGAAAAAAAGTTCTAACTAAAAAGTGACCGAACTATGCCTAAAACAATATTAATTATTTGGTATAAACATTTTTATTTTGTTTATTTATTAAATATTTTTAATTCACTGCAACTTCTCATATTTTTTGAATATGTTTTATTTTTGATTTGTATTATCTATAACCTCTTGAGAAAATATTATACAACTATTATGATATTAAGCGATATTACAAAGTGGTGTTTTCATCATAATGGTTCAAATAATGAAAAATCAGTGCATTCAAAAATGTTTCTGAGCGAATCACATGACTTACCTTTTACTTAAAAATACTAAGGATCTGTTTTAAAGCCTTAAATTATTATTTGTTATGCTGTTTTTTCTTAAAAACTAATGAGAAATTTAAAAAACTTCATTATTTGGTTTTATTTTAAATATAAGATAAAATGCATAAAACTTGTTAATTAAGATTTCTTACTGCCTAACTTGTAAAATCAATTGCTCCTTTGATTTCCCCAGAGCTTATAATTTAATTGTTGGAAAATATTATTTTACTTAGTTTACTAAATTATTTAATTAATACATCATAAATACTTATATTATTTCTTTTTTTATTATAGTTGTTCTTATTGGAGATTCTGGTGTTGGCAAGAGCAACTTGTTAGCTAGATTTACTCGCAATGAATTTAATCTAGAATCAAAGTCTACCATTGGGGTAGAATTTGCTACAAGGAGCATTAAGGTATTTTATTATATACTGTGTATTTATTATAACCTATTTACAATTTACATAATATATGAATATATTACCATGACTATCAATTATTATTTTATTAAAAATTAAAGTTAATAATTATACATTGTGATTTGCAAAATCTTAACAAACTCCTAGTATATTGGCGTTGCATTAAGCCAAAATTATATGCTCAAACCGCATCTGCTGTTAACTAACTAATTAGTTCTAAAATATAATTTTCTTGAATTATAATTTTTAAATTATCAGTTAGGTAGGTTTACTTTCTAATATTACTTTTAAGTAGTACCTAATTTAAAATAGGTATATTGTTTTTTTTTATATTATTTCATTTTGTTGCCTTATGTACCTTCTAAAACTAAAAATATATTTTATAAATATCCATATAACAATATTAAGTCTATAATTTACCCATATTTAGGTAATTCCTTATAGTTTCAGCTTTAAAAATTAATTTTTAAATACATTTTATTTAAAGGTAAATAAGAAAATAATCAAAGCCCAAATTTGGGATACTGCGGGACAAGAACGATACAGAGCTATCACATCAGCGTAAATATTAATTTTTCTATGTTTTATAATAAGTTAAATTAATTAGTTTTGTTAATCTTTAGTTATTATCGAGGAGCAGTAGGTGCACTGTTGGTTTATGATATTGCAAAACAGCTAACTTATCAAAATGTGGAACGATGGTTGAGTGAACTTCGTGATCACGCTGATCAAAACATAGTCATTATGTTAGTGGGTAATAAGTCAGATTTGCGTCACCTAAGAGCTGTGCCAGCAGATGAAGCTACAGCATTTGCTGAGGCCAATAACTTGTCATTTATAGAAACGTCTGCTCTTGATTCTACCAATGTCGAAACTGCTTTTGAAAACATATTAACAGGTATGAGTAATTTTTTGTTTAATATTAATGTTTAACACAATAAGACTTGAATTTATACATTTAGATGAGTATTGTATCTTAGTACATTTTTTTTTTATAGTTTGAAACTGATTATCTTTTATTAAAAAAAAAAAAATTTCAAATTTGTAGTCAAGCTTAGAAACAGATTTATAGTGTTAATGTTTAATGCTTATCTCAACCAAGCATGTATTTGGTAATTGTCACTGACAATCTGTCTGTTGAAATGTCTAATTTATTTAATTATTGCATGTCTGCTATACATAATTTGGTTTTAGTTGTGCAACTATACATTATAGTTATACTGATAAACAAATTTGTTCAAATATAGAAAATTAACTAAAAGCATTGCATGATGAATAAATTAAGAATGTAATGTGTTTTGAATAAATAAAATGATTTTAACCAAATCAAAAAAACAAAAAAATAATTAATTGATTTCATTCTTACTTTAGCATGTTTAAAAATTGGTTAGAAAGTTGAATAGGTATCTTTAAAATGACACATTTGACATTTCTGTATAAATAGTTGGCAGTAGGATGATATAGTATTATAGTGATTAATTTATAACTTTTTTTATTTCGTTTGTGCGCTATTTAATTATGATTTAACTATAAAACCATTTTATTGATATTTTAATTTTTTGAAAATTTGTTTGAATGGTTTGGGTCTATAATATTTATTTGTGTGTACTTTTAAATTGTTAATTTAAGATAATTTTCTCGTTGATCGTTGATTAATTATTGATTAAAAATAAAACCTTTCAATGCTCAATAATAATATCATATATCAATTTTGTTTTGTCAGTATATGATATATAGACTATTATTAATAAAAATAAATATGTGGTTTATATGTTTATAATTAGGAATTATTTTTAAACAAAGTTTACTAAAATGTAATTTTTTTATACAAGTTAATTTAAATTTTAAAACAAGGTGGTAAAGTTAATACTTTGCTGTATAGTATGTGTCAGTCTGTCACTATAATGGATGTGTACATTTTTTTCAATGATAAATCATTATATGTATACAAAATGTATACACAAAAAATAAAAATAAAAAAAACTGACTGTAAAATCAATACAATTAATAATAATAATTGATATGAAAATGACTCAAAATCTCATTAGTCAAAATATTTGATATTTTTTAATTTAAGAAGTAAAACCTAATTTTTATCAATAGAGGTCGACATAAGTCTTCAGCTACTATTATAATTACTTGTATTTGTTTTCAAAATGTAATAAGAAAATAATGTTGGATGTATTAATTTGTTATTGAAATATTGGTATTTTAATGTTAAAACTATCCATCTGCAGTTTTGTGAAACATATATTTAACATGGTAAAAAATAATATTCAAATATTTGAATTATCCGTTTATTAAAATAATACATTTATAGAGAAGATTCATAATGTAAAATTTAAAATGATTGTGAAATGTATAAATTATATTATTATTGAACTAACTTATAAGGAATCTAGAAAAAATAATCCTCAAATCTATAGCTGTTGGTTACAGCTGTCAATAATAATATTAATTAATAACAATGAAAAAATATAAAATTTGAATGATAATTATTACAATATTATCTTGTTTTCTTATGAATATTTAGTCAGTTTGTTATAAAAAAAATTAATCAGTTCGCTAGCGTTGTTATTACACACAGCTGTCAAAAATTTTCTAATAGTTTTATTATTTTCATTTTATCTTTTAATTAATTCTTTTAGACGGATATTTACAATTTGGTTGTGGCCTCATTTTGTACTACTCTCTTCGAGTTCACCTAAAGTATCTAATGCTAACTAGGCTTGATCGACGTTAATTTCATTTTAAATTTTTCTCATAAGTAATCATACTGTGGGATTTTTTTGACCAACTATATTTGAGAACCTATTATTCTATTCTTCAAAATTGTTGTTGGTTCTGTTTTAAAATTAAAGTGAATTGACCTCTTATAAAATTTAAAGATAAGATTATAATCCAGAGAATATCATAGGCTTTTTATTATATTTAATTTTTAAAGTGAGTTATGAGTATTTTGAAGATATACATGTATATATAAGTATTTGCTTTGGGGTTTTTTTTACTGTTACTATATTATTTTTTTTGATAAAAAGGTCTATTATGCCAAACAAGTAAGCATGGTTAAAGATATACAGATTGCCCATCACCCTATAATAAATGGCTTTCAGATTGATTTACAAAGTGACTGCATTAAACAGCTGAAAAAATTAACTACTATATGGCGCTTGATGTCAACACTCTACCATTCTATTTATTTTATCACTCAACATGTCTACATTTAGACCTAATTTTACATCTATATAGCTGTAATCGGTTAATTGTAATACTGCTGCCTGGAGCACTACTAGTTAATTTTTGCTAATCATTTCATGCACCCCTTATCAGATGCTGATGAGCAACCTGTAATCTTTAATCGTGCAAGTAAGTTAAGACTGATCAAAATAAATAATATTTTGAAATCCTATAATATATTTGGATATTTCCATTCTGAATATTTAATGCATATTAAATTTAAATAATTGTATGAAATATTTTTCAAGAACTACATTATTATTAATAATAAACTATATAAATGCTTGAAAATAAAACTTACTAACTAACTTGGAACACGATAAGCTTATATTTGTTTATATCTATTATGATTATTTTGATATAATTTATAAATATTTCATAAAATGATTTCTTTTATATAGTTAATTTCTAATTTTTGTTACAGTTTATTTTTGTAATTAGGATGCATTAAAAATTTGTTTGTGTCACATTATTTTTTAATTAGTTGGATGCAAGTTTAGTATAATTTATTCATACCTATTTTGTTTTTATTTCCAATATATTTTTCTTCCCATGATTTAAACATTTAATTATTGTAATTAAAATGCTTTTGAATGATGTTTTTACGTATTGTATTATTTTGGTACTGAGTAGTTTTGTTTTTTGTTTTTTTTTTCGTTCGGGTTTTTCACCATTGTTCAGAAATCTATAACATCGTGTCTCAAAAGCAAATGAGAGACCCACCTGAAGGTGATACAATACGGCCTACAAACATTGAGCCAATTGATGTCAAACCTACAGTCAACTCTGACAACGTCAGGAAACAATGCTGCCAATCATCATAAATCAGGTTTGTTTTACAGGTTCCTGATGAAAACATGAATTTTTTATTTTAATCTGTCTTATTGTGACTTATTAAATGTAAATAATTATTATTATAACAAATGGATTCAATTTTAAACTTAATTTGTTTTTTAGAAATCCATCGCAAAGTATCAGCCCGTCAAATGGATAGTATGGATGGGGACGAAATTGACAAAGTGTGTATGAAGCCAATCAGGATAGATGCAACTACAGCAAACACAAATGATTCGGCTGCATTCCAAATTAAACAGTTCTGTTGTAATGCATCAGCTTGAGTATCAAAATTTAAGTCCACTTTTAGATTTTATAAGTGTTGTCCCCCTTTCCATATTTTATTTTATTATTATTATTTTGCAGTACAGGATTTTTAATTTAAGTTAAATTAAAATTCTTTTACTTGCTTCTAATTTTGGGGCTCTTATCTCTTCATTATTTAAATACAAATTATACTTATAATTCTATGTACGTTTAATATTTTCTAATCGTTAATTATATTATTTTATGTTTTTTTTTTTTTTTTCAAACAATTATAATATTTTTAAATATTCGAATTATATTAGTTTAGATTCCATTATTGTTATGATACTATCGGCATTATTTAAAATTGAAAAAAATTCAAACACATTAACAATTTTATTAGTATATTAATTTGTTTAATAGTATTCACCTAATGTACTTTTTTTTAGCCTTCAAAAAATAATAGTTATACAATTTTTTATACACATTAGAATATACATTTTTATCAGAATTTCTATTTCAGGTTTTATATTATTTTATTTTATTTGGTTTTTATCAACCTGCAAATTGTAATCAGTAATATTATTTTATTATATTGTATATAACATTTTTAAAATAAAAATTGATTAATATTAAATCATATTTTTAGTTTAAAAAATAGAACAAGTTTATTTAGGCAATAAACAATATTATTGTATTAACAACTGTGTGTGTAAAGTTTATTTCATTTTTCTGAAAATATTGAATTTAGTTCTTTCCTGAAATATGTAGAATTATATGAATTTATAATATCACATTTAGTATAATCAAGTAGTTATATTATATACTCTAATTTTGCTTCTACCCAATATTGTTTGTTGAAGAAGATATTTTTAAAAGTAATGATATATCATAAGAATAATAAACTGTTTCTAGTGGATTTCAATGATATGGAAATTAAACTTATGCTTAACTAATATTGAGAAAATAAATAACTTATTCTTAGTACCACAATGATGATCATTATTATCATAAAAGATCAGGTTAATGCACAAAGTCAACTTGTCCCTTGTCACCTGCATAACATACGCTCTGTTGTAAACATTGCCTTCTCACATAGTGTATTTAAATTTAATGCAAGGGATAATTACCCATTTATCAGACTTAAGTATCTATAATTTGGGAATATTTATGTTTAAGATTGTTAGCGCTTTTTTTGGTTCCTCCCTTTTCTAATCATAAACAATTTGAGTTCAGCAGAATACATTTTGTATTGTTACCTTTAATTTGTGAATTAAGTAATTAACTAATAATATCAAAACTTAGTTAAGAACATTATCTGTGTTTGACTAGTGACAATATAGTTTTGATATGATATTTTAATTGTCTGTTTTAAATTGTTGACTGCACATTGAATTGAAACAAGGCTGTATGAATATAAGCTGTATAATGTTCAACAACTACAGAGGTCTATCCAACCTGCCTTGAGGCCCAAGAACACATTTTATAAGCTTAGTATGTATTTACTATAATATATATTAGATCCTGAGCAGAGTGATTTTACAATGAAGTGTGTTTTTTTATTTCTAATTTTTTTTGTATCTGTCATCTGCACCCTTTAGGTCAGTAAAAATACTGAGATTTTCTTCAACAGTATCTTTTCTGATTGAAAAGTGAATCTAGTTATTACTTTGGGCTTCAAAAGAAAAAAATCCTAATAGTTTTCAAAAGCGCAGAGAAAAACAAAATTAAAATTAAGGAAAAACACGAATTTTTTAGCAAAATCGGTTTTTGGTGTAGTTCTAAAACAAACGACGGTTAAATATGAAATTTTAACAGGTCGTTTATATCCTACTAATTTTATAAACGCGAAAGTTTGTAAGTATGTTTTTTTTTTTTTTTCTTTCACTTAAAAACTACAGAATGGATTTTAATGAAACTTTACAATAATATAGCTGATATATTAGAATAAGACATAGGCTACAAATCTCCCCCTAGGTCCAACCATGATGTGTGCTCAAACCATAGGCGTGACTAGACTTCATTGGCAGGGGCAGCCTAGATAATACCTTTATTACTGAACTGAAAAAAGCCCTATACACCCAAAACCATAGTTTTAAAGTCACCCCTCCACAATGAAATATTTATATAATTTAAAAAAAGTCTAAATTATCCATTTACAATAATAATTTACAGTAACTTCAGAAATATTATTCTTCTACAGGCTTGGATTATGTACACCACCTAACTGAATCACGGACGTTTCGCCCCCGCCGTTTCGTCCCCGTCAAAAAAACGAGTCCACGGACGTTTCGTCGCCGGCAATTATTGAGATAGGACATTTCGTCCCGGAGAGTTATTAGCCATAGGACGTTTGGTCCCCGGCATATTTTCATTAGGTATAGGACATTCGGTTCTCAGGTTATTAATTATTACTTCAAAGTTCATTATTTTACTTACATTTACTACATTTATTTTTGATGAACAATTCTGTAATGTCTAATATACAGTGTTGTAAAGTATTTGAGTAAAAGTATTCAAATACTTTTTCCTTATTGAATGCTATTTTATTGAATACTTTTTTTATATTCTTTTAATTCTTAATTTGTTTCCACTTATAATTATTCTTGTTAAATAAAAATACCATGACGTCGTGGTTTTACTTTAACATTATAACAATGTAATATTATATATTTAATTAACTAACTACTTTATTTTAAGAGTATTTGATACAGAGAGTACCTATTCAATACAGATGTGCAATGCGTCTGCAACGACTGCATTGGGACAAAAATAAAATGAAATAATAAATGTACCGAAAAAAAGTTAGTTATAAGGAAAAAAAATTGCAATCATAATATTGTACGGGAAATATACCGGAGACCAAACGTCCTATGGCTAATAACTCACAGGGACGAAACGTCCTATCTCAATAATTGCCGCGGACAAAACGTCCGTGTACTGGTTTTTTTGACGGGGACGAAACGGCGGGGGCGATACGTCCGTTTACCCACCTAACTACAAATCTAAAATAATTCAACAATATTATCAAAAATACCTAGATGCGTAGCCGCGTAGGTACTGTACCGTCGTCGTCTGTCTTAAGTCTTTATAGTAGGTTTTTCCGATTTCGGAAGTCAGGAAATCAATCTTTGTAATGGTAATTATAACGATACCCATAAAAAAATCAAGTTTTATAAAAAAAATAAATGTTGCAACCCTTCTGACTTAAAACTCGGTTGACCGGCACCTTTCAAAAATTGCAGGGACAGCCTAGGCACCGTAGACAGGCCTATGGCTCAAACTGGGATTTAGAGATTTACGGTGGAAATTGTTGTTTATAAATGATCGCCATGGGTTTTAAAGCTATAATAATAATAATAATTATTATTGGTTGCCGTAAAATCAGTGTATTCATTCAATGCATTTAATTTTTTTGTACGTTGTGTTTTGACATTATATGTATCGCAATTACGTAAATATTGAGCGTATTATACTCATTATATAAGTTACGTACATAAAACAATGCTACGTCAATGGCCGTCTTCGTGGCTGATTAGGAAATATTGGTCGACTGACTCGGCATTCACAATTAGTCCAGCCGTTTAGGAGGAGTTCAGTGACATCACCTTGGAATAACTTTGATACTTTAAAGTTAAATTATAAAGTTAAGTACAAACAGCACGGGGTCCGCGATCTACCGCAGGTAGATTGCCTATCCCTGATATAATATACTGCTGCGAATCAGAATTTTTATCCCAGGCAATAGAAGAGTTAAGAATTAAGATACATTTTGAACACCATACACCGAATATTAAATAACGAATTGAAGAAAGTTTGAATCATATATAGTTGGTACATTCAACGGGAAACGAAGTGCAATGGATCAGCCAGTAAAATTATATTAACGTTTTCTATACACACGATAAAATTTTCAAAAATGTCGATTTGTTTTGAACTGCTTAAGGATATTTTCAGTCAAATTTTTTTAGTTTTTTTCTTATGAATGTCGATAAAATATTTTTTATTTGATGGATCAAAAATCGTGAAAAATTAATAAGCTAGATTTTTTCTTAAGTCAGATAATATTACTAAATAGATTAGGTAATCGAATTATGGAGCAGGAATATATTATTATAATTATATTTGGTAATAGCCAATAGGATAAGCAATAAACACACAGTTGAACACGTCTTGAACGTTACTATTAGATTTTCAGGATTGAGATAGGCAACTTTATTGCGAATTAATTGATCAATTAACGAATACCAATAAATTTGAGGAACCCCTGAATTCTCTTATCAAATATTGCTAGTAGAACGCACATAAAATAATCAAGACTTTTTATTTTTTTGCTTAAATTGTTTTATTCTATTCATTAATTTAATTTTTTTCCTTTATCAAACATCCGTTCGTACCATAGAACAATAGTTCGTACGGAAGCATAGTAGTGCCAACTAAAAAAAAAAAAATTATCGTAATTTCGATTTGATTTTGACATATCGACTTTTAATTTCGAAATTTTCTACCCACTAATTTATTAAGTAAATCTTTGAACCGAATATTTATCTAATTATTCAAATGCTTAGCTACTTACTTGGTTTTAGATTCTGAACGGAGTAATGAATGTATTGTTTTTGCAATGGTGTATTGTTAATTTTTTTTTAATTTTTAGCTACTTAGGTAGGTACTTACTGTTTACTTATGAAAAACTTTTAAGGTTAACAATTTCGATAAAGGACCACTTTAAAATACCAAAAAGAAGCCATTTATGACCTTTAGGGGCCTAATAAAACTTTTATACTAGTGTCAAATAACTAAAAATGCATGTATTTAGTAATAGATACTTACTATTTAGAATTCATATTATTACTATTATAGCATTGACCAAAAAGTCCAACAATCCTCTTTTTTTAGTTGTGTGGGATCGAAGCCCCCGCGGCCCCCTCGCTCACGTTGTCACATTGAAATTTATGATATAATATCATTGAATTCAAATGTAATACCATCCAATATACAGTGACCCACTTGTAACCTACTGTACTGCAGAGCTACACCCACTTGCCCACCTTTTTTATTTTATTTATTTTTCCTAATTATGAACTGAAGAACTGAGTATTTTAAATCATGGCCTCCCAAAAGTTTCAACCAGGTATATTCATTTTCCTACCAGTAAAAATATTGATAATAAATTGAAAATCAAATCATTTTTTCTACCATACCAGTGGGCGGATCCAGAGCTTAATTTTGGGGAGAGTATGGAGGGGGCAAAAGTACAAAAAGTACATACTTATGCTACAAAATTGGCTAAACACAGTGTAAAACAAAATAAAACTACAGCGATAAGGGGGGGGGGGCAAGTGCCCAATTTGCCCTCCCCTGGATCTGCCACTGTACCATACCTAAAGTGTAACTAGTACACACACACACATAATCATTGTTATAATGTTATATCAATACATTCGTCTTTTTGCTCAGAATTTAATACTATAAGCCTAAACAGACAATGGTGGAGTTTTTTAATTGATATTGCCGAACAAATCTATATAATAGGTAGGTAATAGGGCTATCGTATATATAGTTCTTATTTTAGCCTTCTGTGATCGTGTAATTTCTGAACGACTAGACTGTTTTTAATAATAGTTATAACATTCTTAGAAACTTTAGGTGTATAATACTGTTTATATCTTATTTTTTCAACGCTTGTAATATTTTGCTAAGGAGTGGCTCACCTAGGGAAAATCGAATATTATTTTGTTTCATTAAATGGTTGCCTCCGGTTTCTATAGCTTATCACATATTATTTTGTTTTAGTAGTTAAATTTTACAAATAGGTACATGTATTTATGTTAACTCTATGCAGTGGTGTATTTGCTTTAGTTTTATGGTGGGGGGATACTAAAATTATTAATTACTATACACAAGCTTATATATCCTACCTTATTAAATTTAACACGAAGCTTACCACTTTTGTGTCTGATCCTTTTCTAGAAGAAATAATGCTAAATATTCGATTTCAAAGGAGATTTCTGGTTAGACAACTTACTATAAATTAAAATAATATTTATATAGTATAATATCTTTAATTTGGTGATAAATTCAAGCTTGGATCAAGACCTTCAGGAACCCAGGGGCCAATACCTACACTGTTGTGGCCTGTGGGCTCAACTAATGAACAAATGTCTATAATGTGGCCCCACGCCCCCACCTACCATTCCCGTGGTGGCATTGGCGGAATTGTGCTGGTGAACATGAGAGGTGGCAGGCGGGTGACGGGCCCCAATCCCTGTTAGTTCAAACAAGAAAAAAAATATTCTTATACAGGCACTATAAAAAGTATAAATTACCACTCAATATAATGTTAAGCCAAGAAGACAATGGGCCCCCCTGCTATCCCTTACCCGGGCTGCGTATTAGGAAACCCAGGACGCCACAGAGCGCCTTATGTATACCACGTTCTCATTGACCCATTTCAAATTGCCCGCTTTTTTTTTTTTATCATTTATCAAATAATTTAATTTAATTTAATAATATAATATTAATTTAAATATTATATTATATTATTTAATTTAAACAAATTAAAATAACTATTTAGTAGGAAAAGGTACCTAACTAATATTAAACAATATTATTATGTTATTATAATTCAATAAATTAATGTAGAATGTGATCTCTACACAGTGATTTTTATTTTTTACTTTAGTAGGTACCTATACCTACCTCAGAGTAGGGTGGCCATTCGTCCCGGAAAATCCGGGACGTTACCGGTTTAGGAACTCATGTCCCGGTGTCCCGAAAAACTTTTTCGGGACAAGGTGTTGTTACCGGATTTAGCTATCAACATAATAATGTCCCGGAATTTAACTTTTTTTAAATTATTTGTTGATAATAATAATCACACACAATTACACAAATACGCATATAGGCCCGCACCACGGATATATAAAAATAAACTATATATTATAATATATATGGCCCGCGCACTCTGCAGCTGGTGTATACTGTACTATGGTGGGTGCGAGTCTTATTATGACAACATTCGGATTATTATTTTTGTATAGAAATCTATTTATAAACATTATACATGGTTTATAAACGTATAATACTTATCGTTATCAATTATTATAATGTCGTCGAAATATTTTATACCATGTTATTACTATAACTATTAACTATAATCAAATAGTTTTATAAACACCATGCTAATACATTTTATATTTAACACTAGTCAAAAATAGTCAGGTCTGTCAGTATTATTCGTTCACTTCAATTCGCACCCGACAGACGCTCGATTAATCTTGTTTTAGTTGTGTTCTTTTCGTTTAAATTATGGCACCAAAAAGACTATGCCACTTTAATGAAAATTTACAAAAAGAATTTCCATTCATTAAAAAACAAAAACATAATGATGATTTTAACGTGCAGTGTACAACTTGTCAAGGAACCTTCTCTGTTAGCCACGGTGGACGATCAGATATTAATGATCACCTTAAAAGTCAGAAACACAAATTGGCCTCCAGAGCATCACTGCAGTCTGGTAAAGTTTCAAACTTCTTTTCTAAACTAATTCCTGATAAAAATGATTTCGCGTTAGCAGCTCGTGAAGCTACTTTCGCATATCATACGGTAATTCATAATCAGAGTTTCCGATCAATGACATGCACTTCAGATTTGATTCGTCAATTATTAAATGACAAAAAATTTACATGTGCCAAAACAAAAACCAGAGAAATAATTGTAAACGTTATTAGTCCGTATATTGTTGATAATATCGTTAAAGAATTGCGTTCTGCCAAATTTATCTCGGTTTTAGTTGATGGTTCAAATCATAAATCAATAAAATTAGTACCAATTCTTGTCCGTTATTTTTTGCCTGACGTTGGTATAAAAAATAAAATACTCGAATTTTCAAATTTGCCTGGTGAAACGTCCGATTTGATAACTAAAAAAATTATAGACGTTCTTACAAAATTTGGACTAAAAGAAAAAATTGTAGCTTTGTCAGCGGATAATACAAATACAAATTTTGGCGGAGTAGCTAGGAAAGGGAAAAACAATGTTCACACAAAACTTCAGACTGAATTAAATAAAAAAATACTTGGATTAGGCTGCTGTGCTCATATATTACATAACGCTATACAATGCGCCTCAGATAGTTTACCTATAGACGTTGAAGCCATAACAGTTAAACTTTTTGGTTATTTTCATATTTACACTGTTCGCGTGGAAAAATTAAAAGAATTTTGCGAATTTGCAGATGTTCAGTATCGGGATATTTTAGCACATACTAAAACAAGATGGCTATCATTATTACCTGCTATTGATCGAATTATTTTAATGTTCAGTGGTTTAAAGTCATACTTTCTTTCGCAAGACTCAAGTCCTAAAATATTAGTTGATTTTTTTAAAAATGATAAGGCACTGTTGTATATGAAGTTCATACAAAGTATGCTCAGACTATTTAATAATTATATACAAAAAATTGAAGGAGAACACATTTCTGCTTTCGAGTTGATAGATATACTAAGTAGTTTAATAAATAATTTAGAAAACAGGAAGAACGAACATTTTATTAACAGTGAAATTGAAAATATAATAAAAGTACTCGAAGAAGAAGGATGCTCAATAAAAAAAGAGTTTGATACAGGAAGTCAAATATTTTTTGACTTGTGTATAAAATACATACAAAAGTGGACAATGTCTAATCAGACATTATTAACTGAATTAGATTGGTTAAATTTAACAAAAAAACATACCGTTACATGGCAGAATGCCAAGAACACATTAAATTCTCTTTCCGAATTCGTTGTAGTTAACGAAGATGATTACTTTGATGAATTTATGTCATTTTTAAATATTTTTCAAGAAAAATTCGATGAATGGACAAAAAATTCTATTTCATTAGAACAAAAATGGTTACAAATATTTAAGTTATTTAAAGAAAAAGACGTGGGTATTTCAAATCTTGCAGCAGTTGTTGAATTTGCATTTTGTTTGCCAGGTTCAAATGCATCAATAGAACGAGTGTTTTCATTGATGACTTCCACTTGGACCGACGTCCGTAATCAAATGGATGTGGCAACTGTAGAAAGTTGTTTGATTACCAAAACATACGGTTTAAGTTGCATGGAATTTCATGACGAAATTATAAAAAATCAATCGTTTCTGAAGAACGTCCACAGCACGCAAAAATACACGATGACAGCTGAAGATAAAGTTTAAAAAACGTTGTATATCACTATATGATGTTTAAAAATATGTACTGTATTTAAAATTTTAAAATTAGTTTTTGTTGAAAATAAAAGTATGTTTTCTATTTCTATAATTTTAATATTCAGCGTTTTATATTTCATAATGAAACCCACTAGTAAAAAATGTTAAGATAAAAATATTAATAATATTAAGTTAGATTAAACGATTAGGTCAAGTTAAAATGTATCGTCCCGGATTTCTTTTAATTTAATCTGACCACCCTACCTCAGAGTGAACATTTCTTACTGGACTAAGTGTATTGTACTTGTACACAGCTTTTGTGTTAGCTAAAAAGATTGTCTAGGTTCTTCCTAACATAGAAACAAAATACCAATCTTACTTAAATGTTTTATTTTTACTAAAACATAAGATTCTTAATTAAAATAGGTATAGGTACCTTACTAAAATTTCATGCTCTAACATTAATATATGTATTGTATTTTTAATAAAGACATTACTATTTTTAGAGGAACGAATTGAACTAGTATTCAATGATTATTTTAATAATATATAGAATGGTAGCTACTATGAAGCTAACGGTTTATAAATCCAATTAAAGAAATTGTTGTAACTTCACATGAATGGTGCAAAAACAATTTTGGACGTCTAGTTTGGTAGTCTAGTTCATCGATGACTGAAAAGCCCTGTTATTATTTTCAATTTTCACCTTACTGTGCTGGCATACGCAATATTTATGAAACATGACTCTGAAAAAAAAAAATGTCTTATACATTAATATTAATCAAATAATGAGAACTATTTTTACTTACCTTGATGGATTTTCAAGCTGACCAACACGAATCCAATTAGTTTTCGAAAATTCTTGGTAAAGCATTATGAAATTCTCAACTTCATTAACATTATTAATATTGGCTCTAAGAAAACAACACAAACAACTAAAATATCGTTGCCGTGTACCGTGTACGTGAATGTTTCAAAAATCTACAATTCATATCTGTGTCACATAGTTACCACTTGTCAATATTCATTTCTTGTGTTCATTACGGATAAATTTCATTCCTATACGTATTTCTGTATAATCTTCTCCGTTAATTGTGCCTATATAATATTTTCAAATAAATATGTCATATAGATGTGTATCTATGCCTAACATGACTGCGATGTGTGAAAATCCTTCAGCCAAATCGACAGATATTGGATGGCGATCAACGCCAATTCTGAAGTTTAACCGTACCAATGATATACGAAGACCGGAACCGTCGAAAAATTGTGATTCCAAGGGTTTTCTGGACGGCAGGTTCTGTGTATCTGAGCCGAACATCTCCATACATCCAAAATTAGCTGGCGAGACAGCTGCAGATATTGGGTGGCGATCAACGCCAAATCTAAAGTTTCAGCAGGTCACCAGCGATTTACAGAAACCAGAATCGTCGAATAATTTTGATTCCAAAGGTTTTCTGGACGGCAGGCTCTGTGTATCTGAGCCGAACATCCACATGCATCCAAAATTAGCTGGCGAGGCAGCTGCAGATATTGGGTGGCGATCAACGCCAAATCTAAAGTTTCAGCAGGTCACCAGCGATGTACAGAAACCGGAGAGTCCAAGACACGCACGTCCTCGTCGTTCATTTTGGCGCCAGACGAAGAAATTTGTCAGGCGTTTCCTTTGTTGTTGTGGTTCTACTGACATGATAGACCAGTAATATGTATATTATAGAGTTTAAAAGGTTTTTAAAACCGTTATCTCACTCTTGGTTCGCTGGTACTATTCTGAAACCGTTTATCGTGTCCTCCATTCTCGTTTGTACCAAGTTAGTGTAAGTTTGCCTCACTTATTTCATGCAATGTACCATATCGTTGGCTCTTCGCCACCTGTTTTGTTCTGTATTAATTAAATTAATATTATTATGTTACTCATGTTATACTTATATTATTATAAAGTATGTACTATGTATTAATACCTATCTATTATATCTACCTCATTCGCTTTGCATAAATATATGTAATAATCCTATATGGTCACGCAGGTGGATATTGTATTGTCATGGATGTCATCGATTTTCATGATAGTAAAAAAATTAAAAATTATCTATACTAGAGTGGTTGACAAATGATTTACTTCACCTTCCGTTTAACCACCCCTCCAATCATATTGAAAATAAATCTTACAAATTTATTTTTCATTTTCATAATTAAATAAAATTGAAAAGTAAGTATTTACAAAAAAGGGGTCCGCGGGCCAATTTAAGTTATAGCTAGGGGTCCATGGCTTCACGCCCTTCACACTAATTATTGGGAACCTAAAACCCCCTTGGCTAGAAAATTTATCATAATATACAAAACAGAACGATAAATGTATATTATTATATAACGGAAAAGAAATCCCGTACCGAATGTATTAGATCGATAAGGTTATAGCGCAAAATATTTCTACCACTTTATCCTACCTCGACCGCACATTAAGCATTCTTTTTGTTCTCAACTGTATCTATATTATATATTATTATTATTATTATTATTGCAACGATAGAAAAAAAATGTTCCGCTGCGGGTATCGATTTTTTGGCCAACTGTCTTATAAATTTGTTACTAATATCGTGTTATGTTCCAGAAAAGCGATACGAAATAACATCAGGTCAATCGGTCCAACCGTTTATTAAGAGTTCAGTCACAACACACGTACAGTAGAATTATATATTATATAAAGATTATATTATTATTTATTGTTTGTTTTATTATATTATTTTGAACAAAAAAAAAAAAAACTATAATTTTTGTTTTAGTGCATCTTAAATTTCAATATTATTTTAACAATAAGATGAAAAATGATTTGTTTTAAAAAAAATCTTTGAATACTCCTATGGTTAATGTTTAATATTAATAAAACATATCGATGAGACTAGGTACTGATTGGAGTAAACTTCTAGTATTGCTACAAATAGACAAGGCATATTTAGTGATTGTAAATTTGGATTTGACAAAAATGTCCTCAAATGTGTAGGGTATACTCATTTTTTTTTAATTTCCTCTACATAATATTACATACTAGTGTTTTATTGAAAGACCAGTCCACATAAAGTTTGTTTAAAAGTTTAAAAAAAATTTACATTCACAAAATAAGATACAATAATAATTTTCAGATATTTCGTGGACTTTTTTCGATGGTTTTTGCAAAAGTATCTATTAAATGTGATACAAATAATGTAGTAGTGTTATACCTAGTTACAATGTTAATTGTCGAAAATACACCTTTTTTACTATTTATAGGGGGGAAAAAACCTCGTGATACAGACAAGATAATACAAGACAAAACTAACCGTGACATTCGGGGTTTTGTTTGGGTATCGATACGAGTGTGGACACGTAAAGTATGTTTGGGACGGTAAGTGTTGTCACTGGATGTAAAGTGCACTTGACTGTTATAAATTCAGTCGACGTACGATAGAACTATATTATTATGTTGCGAGATTATTGTCTCATAGGCGTAAGTATAGAACTTCAAAATAATTGAATGGATCAATATTCCACCGAAACTCGTTAAACTACTTTAATACCTACACAATGAAATAATATATTATATAGGTCATCTTAAGTTTCAACAAGATCATTGTGTGCATTACACATTTGTTATAATTTTTTAATTTTTTCCTCTTTTATAAAACACCCGAAAAGGTAGAATGGCTCTTTCTAATTTTTGCGATTTGATGCTATAATATCATAGGTTATGGAATGGTGGAATTTTGAAAAAAATTTAATATATACCTAATGTGTCTAACCTAACCTAATGTGTATTGTACGTTTATTTTTTAACTTTAACAATTTGTAGGTTGTGAAGAAACAGGCGAAGTTTCCTTGTTGTATTGTAAGTTTCAAGTTCATCTCTTATTGCATGTAGGAAGTCACTTTAATACATATTGTAATGGATGATTTTAGTTTGAATTTATAATTAAATCATTAAATTCTAAAAATAATTGTTTCTTATGATGTTTTATAATTTATTTATATTACTGTAGGTAATGTAAATAAATTATATGTCTGTAGGTTGAATAAATCTTTGTAGAAAACCATGTAATTGTTAATAACATTTGTGGGTGCTTAGTAAAATAAGTGAACACTGAACCTTATATTAAATGTTCAGGTTTCAAAAATAGCAATCACCTATAATAGCTTTAAATCTATTAGATAATCTTTTTTTTTTTGTCATATTTGTTTTTATTTGTACAATCTGTAGAAAAAAAAAAATATTTACAATAAGTACAATGGAGATAATGATAATATTGGTAATTGGACATGGTTGACTTGTTGAAGAGACTATTCATTAATAGCACTTCATGGCAGGATGGTGGACTCGTCAACTAGTCGACTAGTAGGTCACGGCACCAGCTACGCTTTAGACGTCGGCCAGGGTCACCCGGGATTGTTCGGCAAGATAGGTTTTGGATTAGAGGGTTTCGGTGATTTGAAAGTTTAAGGTGGAAACGTTTATATAAGGTTTTGGCGACGTTTTTTACTGTCGGAATGAGGAGGTCCCTGTGGAGGGTATCATTTGTAACATAAAAAGGGGCTTTAGTTATCTGCCTGAGGCATTTGGATTGAAATGTTTGGATTCGGTTTATATTGGAGTCTTTGGCTGAACCCCAGAGTTGGATTCCGTAGGTCCAGATAGGTTTGAGGAGTACTTTGTACATGAGGATTTTATTGTGTAGTGAGAGATGTTTGGATGATAGGAGGAGGCGAAGTTGTCTTTGACGGTTATTTAGCACAAGTCGTTTGTTACGTATGTGGGTAGCCCACGTGAGTCGACGATCTAGGCATAAGCCTAGGTAACGGACATTTTGAGCGGTCGGGAGTGGTAGGTTGTTGAGTGTGATAGAGGGACAGCTTATTTGTCTGAGAGTGAATGTGCAGTGAATGGATTTGGATTCATTGAGTTTGAACCCCCATTCTTTGTACCATGTCGAGAGGATGTCAAGGTGGGTTTGGATTCTGCTGGATGCCTCGAGAGGGTC